GTGAACTCAGTTTTTATTTTTCCAGGGATTTTACCAAGTGATAAAGTCTTCAAAATAATTAATTTTTATCATGTTTTAATTTTTTTTCATAGCAAAAGCTTTGGGGAAAATTTTGGAGCTATAATGTCATTTCCAGATCTCGGTCGTCCTTTACGTTATTCCACTAGCTACCATTAGGGGGCGATGAGTGGCCACATCAGAAACAAGATGGGCAAAGAGAATCTGGACTATGAAGATGTTGGAGTCTCTGAAAACTTAGTTTTCCCATGAAAGTGGAATTTTCTGTATCTTTCTAGATATTTAAAATCTGTTAATAGCTATCAAACCTCCCTCCCCCGAGCAAGATTTTTATATACTTTCACCTGAAGCTCCTCAGAAGCCTCGTCCAGAAACCTGTCAAGTGTTTTTGTAATGAATAACTGAAAATTCATTCCTAGTCCTCCAGTAGACCTGACTAATTATGTGGACTATAGTTTATATTTCATCTTAAAACATTTGTGCAACCCCTTTGATAACACCCATTGTTTTCAGGAGACTGTGTGTTATAAAGGTGTGACTGAAGATTTGGCCTACACGGCTGCGCCAGCAGTGTTCACGCCCTCGTCACTGACCGGCCGCGGGCCTGGTGGCAGCAAGGTCCTTGTGCCACAAGCTGGGGACACAGAGTAGATGGCAGGGCCCTGCCCTCTGGGGCTCCAGTCTGCTTCTCACTGCTTCACCGCCATCGTTCTAACATAGCATCTCTAGCACATGCAAAATCAGAACCTTTACAATGCACTTCCTCCTTTCTGGGTGTTCACTCTACGTTTGTAAGAATTGTATTGATGACCGTCCTTTAGTCTATCTTTTAATACTGAGTATCTTTTGTAATTGGCCCTTCAAATACTTATTTTTTTTTTTTTTAGTCTAAATGTACTTTTTAAGCATCATATTGAATAGAGCTAACCAGCCCACTGTTCTCTGACTCACTTAACAAAGGGATTCGTGGGAGGAAAGAGGAGGATTCTGTATTTTTATATTGTTAATTTCAAAGATTAGTTATATAACCTAGACATAAAATAGAACTCTAGAAGTTACATAAATTTCAAAGTATGGAAATAGAAGTTATGTAAATCTTAAAGCATGGAAACATTAGAAAACCATAAGGATCATCTTTTTGTCAGGATATTAAATATCTGTCAAAAATAGAATTATTATTTATATTA